CCCGCCTCACCTCCACCTCGTCGCAGTGGAAGAAGTGGATGTCCGGCCTGCTCTGCTCCGAGTCCTGGCACACCAGCAGCAGCACCGACGGGTAGCGCAGCTGGTTGAGCACCGTCTGGGCGTGCTGCACGGTGGGCAGCGGGAAGTTCTCCAGCTCCTCCTGGGGCGGGAGGGGGGCGGCTCGCACAGGGCCCCAGCCACAGCCGGAGGTGACTTGTGGCGGAGGTGGCACCACGCGCGGGGACGCGACGGGTGTCTGAGTCCCAGGCCCACAAGGGACGGGGCCCAGGCAGGCCCGGATGTGGGGCACACCACTGGTGAACAGCCGCCACTGCGGACACGCCTCGGCACAGGCCCCGGGGACACGGCCGGCAATGGGCCTAGGCAAGACGGGGCTGCACTGGGGCCCACAGGTGTGGAACGGGGCGTCCCCGCTTCCAGGGGGTCGGCCACACACCTGGGCCACGGGAAGGGGGTACCACCTCCACCCCCGCTCCCCGCCCTCACCTGAGAGTCCACGTCCAGTAGCCGCAGCGCCTGGTCATTCACCTGCAGGAGCATCTCCTGGGTCCAGATCTTCTCCTTGGAGCTCAGCTGCACCAGCTTCCGGATGGCGTCGTCCACAGAGGCGATGGCCTCGCTCTTGTCCATGATAAACGTGGCCAAGTGCTGGGACGGGTGGGTGGGGGGTCACTGCTGGGCGGAGCCCTCCTTGTGCCCAGAGCCTAGGCCTGCGGGGCCATGGCCAACCCTGGGTGGGGGGTCTTCTGAAAGGGTCAGGGCTGGCCCTGAGTGGGAGGAGGGCCCTGAGGGGGCCACGGCCAACCCTGGGCGGGGGCAGCTGAGGGGGCCACGGCCCCACCTTCTGTCTTAGCAGACGTCTCTGGGGGCCACGACTGTGTCCTGAGAAAACCCTCAAAAACTTTCCGATCCGCCTTGAACCCTGAGCCACCCTCTGGTGCGCCAACCTCCTCCCCGGCCCCGCCTCTGCCCTGGTCTCCCGAGTGTACTTTCCTTCCCAGACGTCGCCCTTCCTGGCCACCTGGCCCCTGCCTCGCCTGGGGCCACATCCCGAGCTGCCCTGTTTGCACTGCTCCTGATGCCGCACAAGCCCATGCTGTGCAGACGGCTTCGTTGTCCGCCACCTCGTGCCCAGGCAGGGGTTCTGGCTGCCGTGATTGCCATCTCCCCGTGCCTGCGACACAGCAGGCCCGTGGTGCACAGCAGGCCCGTGGTGCACGTGTGCACGACGCCCACGACCCTGGGATCTCCGGTCACCTGCCCGCCACCTCCCCTCTCTCCAAGTTTGACTTAGGCCCCCTCCTTCAGCCAACCTCTCCTCCGTGGACCCTGGCATTCCCGGAGCAGAACCCGCCATGAAGGGTCGTGGAGTCAGTAAGTAAACAGTGCTGGGCCAACTGGGTAAACAGCTTGAACTGCAGGACAGTCAGATATAACTGTCAAATATGAAACACAGAAACTCAAGAAACAAATACTGGCTGATCAACTGAAAAAGGCCTTCTCAACCCGGGTGCTTCCCTACACATGGAAGAAAACCCAGGAGCTCAGAAGAAAAGACCAATATGGCAGACAGCTCTCTAATTGCTATCATGCTCACTGCTGTCTTGTGGGGTCTTCAAAAAAATCTGTTTTTCTACTCAAAAAATAAAAATAAAAAAAAAGAAGAGGCCAATACGTCTGACTTAATAAAAAAACAAAAATTCCTACCTGGAAAAAAAAGTATCATATACCAAAACAAAACAATAAACCCACACTAAAAAATTAAAAAGTGGGAAAAACACAGGTAATAGATATTAGTAATGTCCTTTTTTTTTTTTTTTTTTGAGTTGGAGCCTCACTCTGTCGCCCAGACTGGAGTGCAGTGGCCGCTCCCGGCCACTGCAGCCTCGACCTGCTGGGCTCCGGCGATATTTCCACCTCAGCCTTCCGAGTAGCCAGAACTACAGGCGGACGCTACCATGCCCAGCTGATTTTTTGATTTATTGTAGAGATGAGGTCTCGCCAAGGTGCCCGGCAGGTCTTGAACCCGCGGGCTCAGGCAATTCACTCACCTCACCTCAGGCTGAGCCACCGAGCTCGGCTAATTTTCTTAACATAGAAAAAGGCCAATGCACATTACAATGACAGTTATTACTTTGTTAAAAGTTCTAGTTTGTTGAATATAAGAACTAAGGATAACAACAATGAATGGAAAAGTTCGAGACCTGGGCAACATCACAAGACCACATCTCTACAAAAAATAAAAACACTAGCTGGGCCTAGTGGTGCATGCCTGTAGTCCCAGCTTCTCAGGAGGCTGAGGTGGGAGGATCACTTGAGCCCAGGAGGTTGAGACTGGGGTGAGCTGTGATCGTACCATTCCAGCCTGGGTGATGGATTGAGACCTCAACTCAAAAAACAAAAGAACAAAAGTGTTAGTTTGTTGATACCAACAATAAATGAAAAAGTAGATGAATGAATATGTAAATAAGAGATTAATACTCCAGTAGAAGCCGGGCTCGGTGGCTCAGCCTGTATCCCACGCCTTGGGAGGCTGAGGTGAGTGGATTGCCTGAGCCCGCGGGTTCGAGACCTGCATGGGCAACTTGGGTGAGACCTCATCTCTACGATAAATCAAAAATTAGCCAGACGTGGTAGTGCGCACCTGTAATTCTGGCTACTCGGAAGGCTGAGGCGGAAGGATCGCCGGAGCCCAGCAGGTCGAGGCTGTGGTGGCCAGGAACGGCCACTGCACTCCAGTCTGGGCGACAGAGTGAGAGTCTGGGCACTCCAGTCTGCACTCCAGTCTGGGCGACAGAGTGAGACTCCAGCTCAAAAAAAAACAGCAAAAAAAAAAAACTCCAGTAGAAAAATTGGCAAAGATTCCACAGAAAAATAAATGTAAGTATCTTTTCAATTCAAAACACTGTGTGCAATCTCATTGATAAAAAAAATTGCAGATTGTGCTGGGGTGGTGGCTCAGGCCTGTAATCCCAGCACTTTGGGAGGCCAAGGCAAGAGGATAGCCTGAGCCCAGGGGTTTGAGACCAGCCCGAGCAACTTGGCAAGAACTCGTCTCTATAATACATTTTAAAAATTAGCTGGGCCTGTGGTTTCAGCTACTTGGAAGGCTGAAGCTGAAGGATCGCCTGAGGCCAGCAGGTAGAGGCTGCGGTGGCCATGTGTCTGCCACTGCACTCCAGCCTGGGCAACAGAGTGAGACGCCAACTTAGAAAAATAAAAAACCCCAGGGGTTTTAGGAACTCCGTTTTATGCCTTTTCTATTGGCCAACACTGACAGTTCTCGTGGTTTACACTTGTGCATGACGACGTAGAGACGTGTGCATGCTCACCGGCACCCGCCCAGGCTCTCTGGGGAGAAATGACCCCCTGAAAGGGCACACCTCCTTCCCTCCCAACTCCACCACAGCCAACCCACACACGTGCCATCATGGCAGAGGCACAGATGACTCAATGCAGAACCATTTCCAATAACCAAGACCGGACCCAGCCCATGTGTCCATCAATAAACAGGCTAAAGAACCAGTGGGCAGGAACATGCATGGAGGGTCAGCGTGAGGCGTCATTAGCAAAACAACACAACCAAGCAGCACCCCACCGCACAACACATCTCAGTGAATTCCAAATGGCTGAAGCCACACAGGGTATGTCTTCTATCCACAGTGGAATTCAAGTAGAAAACAGTAGTAAAAAGATAACTAGAAGGCTGGGGGTGGTGACTCACACCTCTAATCCCAGCACTTTGAGAGGCCAAGATGAGAGGATTGCCTGAGCCTATGGGTCCGAGACCAGTCTGGGCAACTTGGCAAGACCTCATCTCCACAATAAATTAAAAAATATTAGCTTGGTGTGGTGGTGCATGCCTATAGTTCCAGCTACTTGGAAGGCTGAGATGGAGGGATCGCCTGAGCCCAGCAGGTCCAGGCTATGGTGGCCATGAGTGTAACATTGCATGACCCCCCAAAAAACACCCCAAAACCAAAAAACAAAAAAGATAACTAGAAGATCCCCAAATATTCAGAAATAAAGCAACATGCTTTTAAATAACCCATGGGCCAAAGTTGAAGTCACAAGGAAAACGAGAAAGTATTCAGAACAGAAAAATAATGAAAACATGTAGACGGGCTCGGTGGCTCAGCCTGTAATCCCAGGCCTTTGGGAGGCTGAGGTGAGTGGATTGCCTGAGCCCATGGGTTCGAGACCCCTCTGAGCAGGCGAGACCTCATCTCTACAATAAATCAAAAAAATTAGCCGGGCGTGGTAGCATGCGCCTGTAGTTCTAGCCACTTGGAAGGCTGAGGCGGAAGGATCGCTGGAGCCCAGCAGGTGGAGGCTGCGATGGCTGGGAGCAGCCACTGCACTCCAATCTGGGCAACAGTGAGATTCCAACTCAAAAAAAAAAAAAACAAAAAACAGAGCCGGGCTCGGTGGCTTAGCCTGTAATCCCGGGCCTTTGGGAGGCTGAGGTGAGTGGATTGCCTGAGCCCGCGGGTTTGAGACCCGACTGGGCAGACGAGACCTCATCTGTACAATAAATCAAAAAAATTAGCCGGGCGTGGTAGCGTGCGCCTGTAGTTCCAGCTACTTGGAAGGCTGAGGCGGAAGGGATTGCTGGAGCCCAGCAGGTGGAGGCTGCGGTGGCCGGGAGCGGCCACTGCACTCCAGTCTGGGTGACAGTGAAATTCCAACTCAAAAAAAAAAAAAAAAAAGAAAACATGCACATCACAACTTGTGGAACACAACTAACACAGTGAGTACTTCAAGGGAGTGTTGCAGCTTTCCATGAATGTATTAGCTTTCCCAAAGAGGAAAGACTTAAGATCAATGATCTAAACTTTCACCTTAAGAAGCTAGTAAAAGCGCTCGTTTCAGCAGCACATATATATATATCTGACAAAGGCCTCACATCTAGGATCTACAAGGAACTCAAACGTGCCGAAAGGAAAAAAACAAACAGCCCCATTAAAAACCAAAAGACATGAATAGACACTTCTCAAAAAAAGACATACAGGCAGCCAACAGACACATGAAAAAGTGCTCATCATCAGAGAAATGCAAATCAAAACCACCTTGAGATACCACCTAACCCCAGAAAGAATGGTCATCATTGATAAAACAACAACAGATGCTGGCAAGGATGTGGAGAAAAAGGAACGCTTCTACACTGCTGGTGGGAATGCAAACTAGTGCAACCTCTTTGGAAGACAGTGTGGCGATTTCTGAAAGAGCTAGAAATCGACCTTCCATATGACCCAGCAATTCCCCTCCTGGGAATATGCCCGGAGGAACTCAGATCATTCTACAAAAAAGATACCTCTACGTATGTTTGTTGCAGCTCTATTCACAATAGCAAAAACATGGAACCAGTCCTGTTGCCCATCGAAGCTGGACTGGATAAAGAAAATGTGGTACATATACACAATGGAATATTATGCAGCCATAAAGAAGGACAAACATATGGACTTCGCAGCAACTTGGATGGATTTAGTCGATCATACTCAGTGATCTGTCACAGAAGCAAAGAACAGAGTTCCATATGTTCTCACTCATAAACAGACCTTCATCAATTATAATAATATAAGAAAGGAATTGGCAGTAGTGGAAAACTGTCAGGGGAGGGGGGTGGGATTGACAGTTGAGGGAAACTGTTAGGGGAGGGAGGGGCATACCTCATCAACAAGGGTACCTGCATAATCAACATTTGTATACCTAACCCTGAATTGTACCCAACATCTTTATAATTAAAAAAAAAAAAAGCTAGAAAAAGGCCGGATGCAGTGGATCAGCCTGTAATCCTAGCACTTTGGGAGGCCAAGATGAGAGGATTGCCTGAGCCTGGGGGTTCAAAACCAGCCCGGGCAACTTGGTGAGACCTCATCTCTACAATAAATTAAAAAAAAATTAGCCGGGCCTGGTAGCCTGTGCCTGAAGTTCCAGCTACTTGGAAGGCTGAGGTGGACGAATTGCCGGAGCCCAGCAGGTCGATGCTGGGGTGGCCATGAGCATGCCTCTGCACTCCAGTCTGGGCGATGGAGTGAGACTCCAACTCAAAAAAAAAAAAGAAGCTACAAAAAGATAACCAAATAAAACCCAAAGGAAGAGGAAAGAAAGCAATTAAGAGCAAAACCAACATCCTAGTAAACAGGCAATAGAGAAAAATCAACAAAGCCCAAAGTTGGTTCTGAAAAGGTAGGGATAAAACCTGAGGAAGACTAATCAATAAAAATACTAGAAAAATACGAGAAAAATTGGGGCGCAATGGCTCATATCTTTAAGTCCAGCACTTTGGAAGGCAGAGGCGAGAAGATTTCCTGAGTTCAGGGGTTTGAGACCAGCCTGAGTAACTTGATGAGACCTTGTCTCTACAATAAATCAAAAAATTAGGCCAGGCACGGTGGTTCAGCCTGTCATCCCAGCAACTTGGGAGGCCAAGGGGAGAGGATTGCCTGAGCTCGCGGGTTAGAGACCAGCCTGGGTAACTTGGTGAGACCTCGTCTCCACAATAAATTACAAAAAAATTAGCTGGGCATGGTAGCGTGCGCCTGTAGTTCCAGTTACATGAAAGGCTGAGGCAGAAGGATTGCCAGAGCCCAGGAGGTGGAGGCTGCGGTGGTCACTGCATTCCAGTCTGGGTGACGGAGTGAGACTCTGATTCAAAATAAATAAATAGCGAAAACCTTCCTACAAAAAATATCCTGTATTCAGAGGGTTTAACTGACAAATCTTAAGAAATATTTAAGGATGAAATAACAAGCTTTCACAAACTCTTTCTGAAAACAGTTGGAGGGAATCCTTCCCCATCTGTTTTATAAGGTCAACATAGCCCTGATGCCAAAACCTGCCGTGGGCATTGTAAGAAAAGAAAATTGCAGACCAGTATCTCTATTGAAACATCAGTATAAAAAGTCCTTAACAAGAATATCAGCAAGTAATCCATCAACACAGAAAAAGGCTAATACACCATGAATAAATGAGGATGATCCCAGAAATGCAAGTCTGGTTCAACATTTTTTAAAAACCCCGCTGGACGTGGTGGCTCATGCCTATAATCTCAGCAGTTTGGGAGGTTGAGGTAGGAGGATTGCTTGAGCACAGGAGTTTGAGACCAGCCTAGGCAACTTAGTGAGACTTCGTCTCTACCAAAAAAAATAAAATAATTAGCTGGGTGTGGTGGCACACACCTGTAGTCCCAACTAGTCAGAAGACTGGGATTGGAGGATCGCCTGAGCCTAGGAGGTCGAGGCTGTGGTGAGCCATGATGGCACCACTGCACTCCAGCCTGGGCGACAGAGTGAGACCCAGCCACAAAAAAAAAAAGAAAAGAAAAAAATCCATCAGTGTGATACACTACATTAACAAGAGTGAACAAATCTCAACAGATTCAGAAAAAGCACCTGACAAAACTGAATCCCTTTCATGATATGAACTTTCATCAAACACAGAATGGAAAGACAATTCCTCACTCTAATAAACGGCATCTACAAAAACATGAGGCATACAATGCAAAAAACTGAGTTCGTTCGAGGCTGGACACAGGTGGGGATGCTAGCCAGGGCAATGTGGCAAGAAAATATGTAAATGTAAATACAAAACCAAGAACTGTCTTTATTACCAGACAGTATGGTTGCATAAAAACAACATCCAATTCATCTACAAGTAAACCATTAAGACAACAAGTAAATTTAGCAAGGTCTCAAAGCACTTGATTACCATACAGAAATTCAACTGTTTTTCCTTTTAGGTGGAGTGTCACTGTTTCGCCCAGGCTGCAGTGCAATGGCACACTCATGGCCACTGCAGCCTTGACCATAGGCATGTGCCACCACACCCAGCTAATTTTTTGATTTTTTAGAGACAGGATCTCGCCATGTTGCCCAGACTGGTCTCAAATCCCTGGGCTCAGGCAATCCTCTCACAGACAGGCTGGGCATGATGGCTCATACCTGTAATCCCAGCACTTTGGGAGGCTGAGGCAGAAGGATTGCTTGAACCCAGGAGTTTGAGAACAGCCTGGACAACAGAGCGAGAGACCTTGTCTCTACAAAAAATTGTTTTTTTGTTTTTTGTTTTTTGAGTTGGAGTCTCACTCTGTCGCCCAGACTGGAGGGCAGTGGCTGCTCCCGGTCACCGCAGCCTC